GTTTTGAAATATATATCATTCGACTCCGTTTTAGAAAAAATAAATTTCTCCAGTGAGGAAAAGGAATTTTTGGAAAAAATCTTCGTAACTTTGGAGGCGAGCATTCAGTAAATCTAACCATGTGTAAATATTTCCTCTACGACCTCCTACAAAAAACTAGATAGGCTCGCAAAATTGTGTTCCGCTTATGAGTCATGCACATAGTGAAATTTTCGCAAATAGACGTTTGGTCCTAAAAAAGTAATAAAACCATCTTCTAACTCAGTTATCGATGCTGAATCGGAAAAACTAAGTTAGAAAACATTCCATCTCGTAACAAGGCTGGAAAAAACGATTTGCAAAAAAGACGTGAATTTTTCGGATTTGGAGGCCCTCATGTTTTTTGAATTTTTCGACAGGAAGCAAGTGTCTAAACAAATCAAGACACATATATTCTTGACCGCCTTGAAGGTCTCTATCCAACGATGTACGATACGTTCGAAAATAATTTAGACTGTAAGTTTGAATCTTACACAGGACTCTGTTTTTCAGGGCGTTTGTAGCGATGCTTATATCTCCACGAAAACTCATCGGAAAATTCTGGAAGACATCTTACTTTGAAGAGAACACTTTCTTCTATCATGCTATGTATAAGAAAAAATCTGAATATATAGGAAAGGAAACAAAGATTTACGAAACTAAAAAATTGAGATTTTTTTGGCAAACGTAAAAACTTTTTAATTTTTCCAAGGAAAGTCATGGAGAGCTGGGAGTGGTCTCATTTTATAGCCCAGGCTTTCCCGCAAACTTTTCTGCAAAAAAGAGGAGCTGAGAGGAGTACCCTTAATAATTAATTCCCAATGAATATGCTTAGAATTTTATAATCATCCATTTAGGGTAATTTGAAATTGGTAATTAAATTCTTTTTGATTCCTGTTGTTTTGAGAGAAAGAGGATTTTGTTGACATAATACGCATTTCACGAACAGTTACCCATTAGAGTTCTGAAAAGAGACTGAAAAATATGTGTGTACAGGAACATTGAACAAAATGTTGAAATGAAACACCAGGACTGCTGCTTATAACAGAAATGCCGTATGAAAGTGTAACTAATTTGTTTATTCCTGATTAATAAAGGATATTTTCTTAGTAGGACAAGCTTGTATCTGTGGTACATGAAAGTGTGCGGACGATCCTCATAATATTTTAATGACAATTATGTTAAAACCGTCCTGAATAAAGTTTTGCTTTATGCGCTCAATTAGTAATGAACAACCATGAACAATAAGCTCAATCTATCTCTCGTTTTTCGTTGTCTTGCTGTTGTTGTTACAGAAATGAAATTTTCCACTTGATAACCGAATCACAGAGCTTGAAGCCTTGTATACGTATTTTTCTCGTATGTGAGAGAGATTGCACAATCACAGAACAGAAAAATTTCATTTACGTTCTCTTATTCTTATCGAATTGCACAATGTCAATTTGCCACAACATTTATACAAGGTTTGAATAGAGTAAGAATAGATGAGCCGCGATCTTAGACCATAACAATCGTTATGAGACTAAAGCTTATCGACTGGTCTATCAGACCACGGTCTGAGATCAAATTGACACTCATCCACCTTTTTTCCGATTGGCTTCACAACCTTCAGAATTATTTAGTGATTTACGACAACAACAATCATCCCTCCAATGTTTTTAATGAAGAATTGATTTTACTATCGCTTTTTACTGGCTCTCGTTTTGCTAATCGTAGCTGAACTTCTTCAATGTTTTCTTGTTGTTGTGGTAACTGGGGCGCTGGATTTTCCGAATTTTCGACTGGATGTTGTAACTTAAGGATATTAAAATCTGATAATTATCGTCGTACTGGTGGCTGACAAGAATAATACTTTCTTATTATTTGGTGATGTTCCGATTTTTTCAAGCATCTTCCAAATTAACCATGCAAATTCAATCAGCAACCATTCAAATGCAACGTTTTCAAACTCATCAGTTTCACCAGATTGTATTAATGATTCCAGTGAATCAAAGATTGCTCCAGTAATGTTTCTCAATAATCTTCTGAAACTCGTATTTTAATTAATTGGCGTTCGATGTTTTGTCATTCGTCTCGTATACAATATAACTGTGTAGCAGTCGGGAACACATTCAACTGCTTTCTTGATTTTATTCGCTCTATCACTATCTATCATCACCAATTTGACCTCTGATATAATTCAGTGATTGTTCATATGATTCAGTATTCCCTAGTGAATAGACTTGAAATCAAGTACTCAGCTAGCTGCAAATTTTCTAAAGTACTTAGTTAAGCACACGTCAATCATTTTTAGATTTAATACATGTCAAGTACTTAGAAGAACTTCGGATACCTGCATATATTTCGCAAGTACTTACCAAGTTACCTGTCAAACAATTGATGAAATACAGAGCATGGACAAGTACAAGTATACAAGTAAAAGTACTTTAGAACAGTACTTGTACTTCTTACTCTGTACTTTCAAAAAATACTTTATACTTGTAGTTTAAGTGCTTTTTTAGCTTTTACTATGATTCGCAATATAAGGTGCAATATATGGGCCCATTGGCGGGCCAGGGTCATCTTTTTTGGTGTGGCAAAATTTTTAAAAAGTGTAAGAAACTTCTAAAAAAATAGTCGTACAGGAAAACCCATAACGAATAAAAGTTTTTAGTGTGGCAACTGCCACACTTTGCCACAATAGTGGCCCGCCACTGCATGGGTGTTACATTAATTTAAGTTTTTCTTTTTTTGTAACGGCCTAGGCACATTCTTGTGAAAATAACCGATTGATTGATGGATTTTATCTCTTTGTGCGACCTCAGTTTCTAAACCGACATGTGCTGCGATCTCTCAAAAACGTGTGGAATACGAATTATTAAATTTTCCACGTATCACTAAAATACTACTGAACATTGTATGCTAATGAGAAATGCTTCGTTAACGAAACAGATGAACAAATCGTAACAAAATGCATTCATACGTAGGTATAGCTCACTGACACATCATCCTTGAACTAGGAACTGTGAAACTACTCCTGAACGGAATCAAAATAGTTGAGCTTGAAATATACTCATAGTACAAGTACAAAGTACTTGTTAAAAGTATAGAGTACAAAGTAGAAGTACTTCTCTAAATTATAAGTATTAGTACTTTGTACTTGAAAAGTACACGTACAAGTATCCATGCTCTAATGAAATACTTACCTAGTACTTATGTTTGTTAAGTTACTTGATAAGCACCTTTTTTACGTGTAAAAAAAGCTCCAGGTACTCTGGATATTACTTAACCAAGTACTTTTCTAAGTACTTAGTCTTAAGTACATTTCACTAGGGTTATTACACTAATGAATCATAGTGCGATCAAGAAAAACCGGTGATTTGTTTTCTGGTAAATCTGCGATGCTGTATTATGAAATCTGGTTGGGGTAACAAAATAACGACCTAAATTGAAAGTCGTACACAGACGTGAGCAAATAAGACGTAAATTATCACAACAGGATCATCGAGTAGAATCTGGTAAGATTCTTCTTAAGATTTCGATAATTTGTGAAAGGATATTGAAGAATTTCATCAGTTTTGTTTCATAATCAGTGTAGTGGCGGCGCCAGGATTTTTCGGGTGCCTGGGCTCAGCTCATAATTTTTCAAAAATCCGTTTAGAATTTTTAGATACTCTGTTTTCAAATTTCTGGGTGGTTGGGCTCAGCCCACCCTAGCCCTGGCTGGCGCCGCCACTAAATCAGTGTTCGTCATCATATTCTACTTTTTCATTTTAAGCCACTGATGCATAAGGAAAATAGATTCTTATCGAGTATTGCTTATTATCAGTTCGCTGCGAACTAATAATAAGCAATTCTACTCTATCTACAATATAAATTATAATTGGCTGTTAGTAGTTAGTGAAATATAGCTATTTTGAGGGCGAGGTCCCTGAAAAATGAGGGCTTTTGCAACAAAAAAATTATAACTCATTCTAGGCACATCAATTCGACTTCAAATTAAGAGCAACTACTCTTCAACAACTGTAGACTATGAAGCATGAAGGTTAACTAATATTGTGTGGTTCTGGAAATTCAATGAGGACGAGCACTCACGATTGAAACATACGTAGAAGAGCGAGGGTGAGGAACTAAGGGTCGCTCTTTCTACTATAGAATCTGCATTCAATGGGGATCATACTTATGAAAAAACAATAATCCAAACATATGGTTCCGAAAAACCAGCCAGGTGGAATTTTTGTCAGAAACATTACACATTCTATAGCAGAAACCGCAACCATTAGTTCCTCACCCTCGCTGTTCTACGTATGTTTCAATCATGAGTACTTGTCCTCAATAAATTTCTAGAATTACACACTTACTGGGAGTACTGTAAACTTTATACAGTTTGTTTAGAGACCTTCTGACTGTTAATGTAAAAGTTCTAAAAGAGTTTCTATAAACACTGAAACTCGAAAACGTCAAAAGACAGGAAACTGTCGTGAATCAGGACCAAACACGTAGTTGTTCTCATGAACACCACTGTTCATCGTATGTGCGAAAAAGGGATTCGTATCTGCTATATTTCACACTTTCTACTCCATCAGTTCGTAGTATCCTCTATGAAAAACCAGGACAGGAGAATGTTTTTACTTCAAGAAGTCACCAAGTTTTTTCAGCTTAGCTGTAGTGCGAAAAAGAGAAAGATAGAATGAAACACCGATAATACTGGGACAAATCGTAAAGCTAAAGATATCAGCTTAATATGAGAAACTTTCCAGTTTCCATGGGATACGAAGTTTTACTGTTTATTCTACTAAACTCTTTCAGAATTTTTCTACTAACGGTCAGAATATCCCGATAAACACCTTCGCTCACATTTTAAGCTGTAACGGAATACGCTTTAGAAAAATAGCAGTACCAGTTTGTAAGCACATGAAATTTCAAACATAATTAGCCCTAAAAAGAGCTGTTGGGTTTTTATCTTCTGATTTATTATCATCATTTACTCTTGATCACCTTTCTCACGCTCGTTCACCTCGAATTCTTCGAGCCAACTGGATATCTTTTGGCATGATAGTAACACGTTTTGCATGAATAGCGCATAAATTTGTGTCTTCAAAAAGACCAACCAAATATGATTCACATGCTTCTTGAAGTGCCATTATAGCGGATGATTGAAAACGTAAATCGGTCTTAAAATCTTGTGCAATTTCACGAACTAAACGCTGAAACGGTAACTTTCTAATTAATAATTCGGTTGATTTTTGATAACGACGAATTTCTCGAAGGGCAACTGTACCAGGACGAAATCGATGTGGTTTTTTAATTCCACCAGTAGCTGGAGCAGATTTTCTCGCAGCTTTTGTCGCCAACTAAAACAGTTTATAATAACATTAGCGTCACGGCTAGACCAGCAAAAAAAACATTGAACGAGAACCGCTGAGTGCAGAGAGAATTTAAATCTTCCTGAAGAGCGAACAAGGTTGAATAATGTACCTGTTTACGAGGTGCTTTTCCACCTGTTGATTTACGAGCAGTTTGCTTTGTTCGTGCCATTGTTATAAAGAGTTATAAATCGAGAATAGGTGCAAAGTGTGTAAACAAATATGCAGAGAAACGCAGAATGAATAGTGATTTTGTTACATTCTTCTTATATACACAAAACCTATAAGATAACAAAGAGAGCAGATTGGTCGAATAGGGTTGTTCTTAATGGACAAATCAAAGCACCGAATATTTTTCACATTGAATAATATGTCAGGCGAACTGAATTAGTTACGGACGTAATGAGTCATTGCATCGTTGCTGTTCAACTTTACTCTGTTCTCATTTGTGTACCAAGTCGTCTCGTTTGCACCAATCAAAGTTCGATTCTCTTCTGTGCGAAAGTACATATAATCGATCTGACATTAATTTTTTTTCATTCAGCTTAAACTCTTTCTTTTCACCAATTCTATTCATTAACTAAACAAAATAATGTCTGGCCGAGGAAAAGGTGGTAAAGGCTTAGGTAAAGGTGGTGCTAAACGTCATCGTAAAGTATTACGTGATAATATCCAAGGTATAACAAAACCAGCAATTCGTCGTTTGGCTCGTCGTGGTGGTGTTAAGCGTATATCTGGATTGATTTACGAAGAAGTTCGTGGAGTGTTGAAAATATTCTTAGAAAATGTCATTCGTGATGCTGTAACATATACAGAACATGCTAAACGAAAAACAGTGACAGCTATGGATGTCGTCTATGCTCTCAAACGTCAAGGAAGAACATTATATGGCTTTGGAGGTTAGAAAGCTATTGAAACGAAAACGTTAAAAAATCAAAAAACAAACAGCTCTTTTAAGGGCTATTACATCTGAAATCTTTTGTGCAGATATGTGTTATTGCCGTAGTATTGGAAAAAAATGGAACTTAACTTCGAGGAACGCATCTTAGTTTCTTGATAGTAAAGTTCCGTTAATTCTTTTTCTATTTAGACTATGAATCAACATTAAAATTTAAAGCCTGTGTAACCTCTTACTATGTTTTTAAATGTCGCTAAAGAACTTTGACCGGCTAAAACAGTAGGTAGATCATTCCAATCTTTTGAGTTTGATGGAAGAAAAGAGCGAGATGCAGATTTTGACAGTAGACGAGGAATAAACACGTGACTATCATGACCTAATCGAGAACTTTGAAGAGTCGTTAACCGTGAACTTACATCAAAAGAGATAGGACTTTTATGACTAAAAATTTTATTGGAATGGAGAAGGCGATAATATACGTCTGTTTGAAAGCGGTTGAATTTTAAATTTTTTTAGTTGAGAAGAACTACTAAATCTTGTGAAATCACCGCACTAGCAAGGCGCTGAATTTTATCCAAAATTTCAAGGTGAGAGTCAGAGTTTAATCGTAGAAAACAACCGCATTCAACCACGCTTCTAACAAGTTTTTTTTACAGAGGACAACGAAGAAATGAAGACCAGTCACGAAAGACGAGATTTCATTGACGTATATTCAATGTGAGTCTTTCACGTTAAATTATCTGAAATAATCATGTCAAAAAGCTTAAGACACGAAACTCTTTCTGTATCAACGGTATTTATTGAAAGAGTGAGTGAAGGAAGCATTTTAGTAGAGTTTGACAATAAAATCCACAGACATCTGTTTATGAACATTTTCCGTTCACGAATATTAAATTAAACGTGATTTCTCTTTTCATATCTCCTCTGCAACTGTGTTTTGGGTTATGCATGAAATATTAGGCTCGATTAGTGAAGAAAGTGTTAACTTTTCAGAACCTTACTTGCAATGACAATACAATATCTGAAGTTCAGACAACTACGAAAATTTGTTGTTAATCTTCGGTATCTTGCCAATGATCTAAGAAATTTTTCAACTTCAATATGATTTAACCTCGTAAAATAATTACTATTATCGATTTCTACTCATACGCCTGTCGTAATCTATACACCGCACTTGTGAGCCATGCTACATTGACGGCATAAGTTTCTTTTTTTCTCTCAGTTTACATACTCTTGGCAAACTATCGTCTTTCCACTCCATGTTGGTATGAAACTGCTTCATTTCATATTAAAATAGCGCGATCAATGTGAAAGCTCACGAAATCTCAAATTTTTAGCTCTAAAAAGAGCTGTTGGGTTTTTAATGGAGTTTGTTGTTGTGGTCGACGACGCTGTTTTACTTCGCACTTGTATACTTCGTCACAGCTTTTGTACCTTCTGAGACGGCATGTTTAGCCAATTCACCAGGCAATAATAATCGAACAGCTGTTTGAATTTCACGAGATGAAATTGTGGAACGTTTATTATAATGTGATAAACGACTTGACTCAGCAGCGATACGTTCAAAGATATCATTGACAAATGAATTCATGATTGACATCGCTTTTGAACTAATACCTATTAACGAACATTCGATAAATAAACGATTTAGAATTATTAAACGTTACTCACCTGTATCTGGATGGACTTGTTTTAATACTTTATAGATATAGATGGAATACGTTTCCTTTCGTCGACGTCTAACTTTCTTATCACCTTTAGCCGAAGCACCTTTACTCGTTTTGGTTACGGCCTTTTTTGATCCTTTTGATGGAGTTTTTGGAGGCATGATGATTTGAAAATTGGTTTAAAGATCGATAGACTGTGTATGAGAGTCAGAAGAATGAGATGAAGTTTAACGCATATTTTCAACATGCTTTTATAGTCGAAACGTGAGTAAAGTAGGACGAATCAAAATCATTTCTTTGTGTACATATGCGGCAGAGAAGAAGAATGAAAAGTATACAAGCACGTTGTCATACAGTTGATTTATTGCTTGATTCGTGAAAATGAACTAAGAAGAGAATTCATGTGTTCTCCTTCGTTGAATAAAGTATGTCAATTGATTGGTTCGTGTGCTCGTCTTCTGTGACTATATAAGCACGTTTGAAACTACAGGTAGACTATCTGTATCTATTCTACTCATCGTTTACTACATTTCTCTCATCTTTTCAAACAAATTTCACTTATAATCATGTCTGGTCGAGGAAAAACAGCTGGAAGTGGTAAAGCTCGTGCCAAAGCGAAAACTCGTTCATCTCGCGCTGGTCTACAATTTCCTGTTGGTAGAATCCATCGTCTTCTCCGTCGTGGCAATTATGCGGAAAGAGTTGGAGCTGGCGCACCGGTGTATTTATCGGCCGTTTTGGAATACTTATCTGCTGAAATTCTTGAATTGGCTGGCAACGCTGTAATGCATAATTTAAGATGTATAGTTGAACTATGTTTTGTAAGACTTCTTTCTTTTCAGGCTCGTGATAACAAGAAGACACGTATCATTCCTCGTCACTTACAACTGGCTATTCGAAATGATGAAGAATTGAACAAATTATTGTCAGGCGTTACAATTGCTCAGGGTGGTGTATTACCGAATATTCAAGCAATTCTTTTACCAAAGAAAACTGGTACTGAAACATCCGGTACACCACGTGATGTAACTACGTCGGGAAGTGCACATCCAAAAAAATCATCGAAAGCTGATAAATCCGAAGGAAAGTCATCCGGCGGTGCAGGAGCCAAAGGCAGTGCAGCGGAAAAAGCATAAGGACGAAATTGAGGAAACGAAACTCAAAACCCATCAGCTCTTTTCAGGGCTAAAATTCTTGATTTTAATGTGCTTTCATAACGATTGTGCTTCTGGAAAAGATACGTTCATTACGGAAAAGAGGGAAATACATTATTCAAGGGGACAGTGAACAAAGAAGAAAGCTTTTATCCATTCACGATTATCCACATTCGTCTTCCACTTTATCCTTCTGCTCTAGAAAGTTTTCTCCAAAACTCCCGAAAGTAGGATTTCTAACAGAATTTGCATAAAGATACTAATCTCTTCTCAGTAGACTGATGGACGTCAATTCAACTCACACATGTTGACTGTACTGTCAAGGATGAGAACTTGCTAGTTCGATACATGCTATGTGATTATATGACAGTATGAGAACGTTTCTCGTATTCTATACAGTTCGATCTCAAAACCATTATATTCATGTTTCGATACTCTTGCCCTGTTTTCGGAGAAGTCGATGACCGAGGTGGAGTACGACTATTTCTCAATCCTGACGAAAGTCTACTAGAACTACTAGATCCTACCCACTAACACTACACATATTGGAATTCGATAAGAATTGATCAGAATCTGCCATTTATCAAAGTGAGAACATATGTGGTATACTAATTTTTTCAATTCTGAAGCGGGATTATGGAAGTGGACACTACTTTTCTTCTCACAGATTATAGAGTTGGGTTTTTGAGTCGTAAACTGTACATGGAAACTTTTTTCTTTTTCTCAAGCCAAAAAGCTGATTCAGTCCGAAAATAACGAATCATGATTTTAGATGTAAACAACGAGAGAAAATTTTGGTGTAGAACACATTTATGCGTCTGTAATTCAAAGCAGGAAGTTTATCTTTTAATAGTTTTAAACTCGAATTCATAGATAAAGGTTGGGTTATAACGAATGTCCAAGAAGAACGAAGAATAGTCGCCGGTGGAATGCATACTAGGAAGGTGGAATGTAACCGACTGTAACCTACTGTGCACCGAGAAAGACAGCATGTGTCATATGATCCTTCACTATGGATAGTCCGAACTTTACTTCATAAAGAGACGTCAGTTTGTTTTGGAAGATTTGAAATTGTGTTGATGATTGAATGTCGTTCGGCAATTCATTGCACATTTTACTGATTTTATGTATTAAGGATTCTTGTAAGACTTAAATAGCACCGTTGTGCCAATAGTTTGACTGAGTAAAGAACAGATACACGTATTCACCGTGGTCAAACATCTTTTAAACTGTAAACAGGCTGTACTCATATTAAAGGTTCTCCTAGTATTTCAAGAGTTCTCTTATTATTTTAAGTTTAACTTCGACCAGATCTGGTTTTGTATATTCCGTTTCTGGTGAAGAATAGAAAAAATAGTTTTGGGAGAGAGAAATCATTGTATAGGTTAATACTTCGTTTTTAAAAAAGAAAAATTTCACTGATTTTTGCTGATTTTAAAAATTTGAACATTATAAAATTTCTAGAAAAGTGTTTTTAAAAAACTTAAGATTCACGTTTTCGTATGTAACTCGATAGCTTAATCTACTCTAGTGGAACTTCTTGATGCAAGAAGCTACAAGAAAGCAAGGAAAAAACAAGAAAGTGGGTCACTTCTTGCAGCAAGAAATATTTCTTGTTTTCTTGGCTCAAGATCTTGTGCCAAGAAATGTAAGAAAACACTTCTTGCGTTTCTTGAGCCAGGAAAGCAAGACGTACTTTTCTTGCCCTTCTTGCCTGCAATAAGATTATTTTTTGTGTTTCTTGACGCAAGAAAGAAGATTTCTTTGCTTATTTCGTGGGTCACGAAATCTAGTTGTATATTTTCTGGAACAAAAACTTAAATTTCTTGGATTTCTTGGGACAAGATCTTTTCCCCAAGAAATGCAAGAAAAAGAAGTATCACTTTCTTGTCCAAGAAACGCAAGATCTTGGGACATTTCGTGGGGCAAGATCTTGGCCAAGAAATCAAAAAAAAACCTTTCACTAGGGTAACCATGGCCATTTTTATCAAAAAATGTTTTGGCTGAAATTTTGAATTGTCGGCACTTTATAATGAAATACCTGCGCTTCAATCTCTTTCATCGTAAGAGTTTTTGTTGTTTTGTTATTTCGAAAGCACAGTTGGAGTTCTATAGTATTGCAACACACACTTCGTCGTCGATTGACTTTTTTTTATGTGCTTAATTTTAGTTTTTACTTTAGTAATCACTCTTAAAGTCTTGAGCTTTCTTTTATAACTTGACATTATTTTCTAAATAAAACTAAGCTGAAGTATAATTTTGTTCAACTGTTTCCAGGTATTATGTATTAATCATTAGTTTGATTTTGTTACTTTTTACATAAATAATCATGTACTGAAAGACCGCACTCACTTCCATTTTTTCATCGCTGGCCGATGTTGAATAAATCCGGTGAGAACAACTGGTTTGTTTTGTTTCATATATTCAACTAATAATTGTTCTATCGATGGTTGTTCAATACGCTCAATTTGGTGTTTGACAATTAATGATTTATCGAAGTAGGAAATCAAAAGCAGAAAAAGAAAAAAAGAAAGAGAGAGACTTACCCAATTTTCTGATTTTTTAGTTTTTTTGTGTGCTAAGTGAAGTACGATAGATGAAGTAAAGCACAAAGAACGAAAAAAGAATAGAAACGATATGAATGTTGCTTGATTAAATGCTTGGTTAAATAATAAAACATTTTTGGTGATATTTTGTTTTTGTTTTAATAGAAAATGTGTGTTTTTTAAAATAATACGAGGATGAAGTTTGAATACAAAAAATGGAGAATGTATACACGAAAATTTATATGTGTGTCGAATTCTTCTTCAGTAAATGCTCGTTTTAAAGAAAGATGGTTCATAGTTCAAAAAGTGGATGTTTATATAGAATCTGGTTCATGCAGACGGAAAAATAAGAGAGGAGAGAAAAATGTTTTCATTTTGCTGGAGAGAGTGAAGTTTGCGAAATTCTTCATTAGAAGTGGAAATTTTAATTCAAAGAGTGAAATTTGTAAAGATTTGCTGAATTTTAGGCTGAAATATTTTGGAGTGTTTTTGTTTGTCCCAAGTTAAAGTTTTAGCCTTACGAAATACTTTTATGTTGATGTTTTGGTTGCTGAAAAGAGTTTGTTCAAAATCGCTTTTCATGGTGTTATAAAGTTGAGGAACTGTACGAAGGTGCAAGACTAAGACTGTTTATCCACGAAAAGTGAGAGTCATCAAAGATCCCCGACCTGTAATAACGATGACTTAAGTCAAACAAGAAAAGAGTAACAAAAAATAACAAAATAAAGAAGGCAACTAAGGTTAGAACCAGAAGTAGTAAAAATAAGAAAATTTAAAAAAACCAAACAAACAAAAAGAACAAATATAAATGCAGGAAAAAACAACAGACAAAGAAACTAACACGATTTCCTTAACTGACAAATATTCCACTGAAAGAGATACTGAAGTAAAGCCTTTTGAAAGACATTAAAGAAGAAAGACGAATAGCTGACTCTGGGAGATTATTCCAATCAGCAATAGTTGAATAAAAAAAGAAGAATGTACCGTTTGCGGAGGAAAACCGTCAACGGAAGGTGGAATGCGAACATACTTAGAGTGATGAAGACGTAAAAATGAGTAGTGAGGACGATGAACAGTAATAGAAACAAGGACTCAGACGATGATAAATTTTGAAAAACCGAAAAAGTCTGAAATATTTACGACGAAGAGAAAGGTTTGGAAGAAAAAGTTGAGACTCAAGTAGCGAACTAGAAGAACGGAAGTCAAAGTTACGAGAAATAACACGAGAAGCGAGGTTGTTTATTGCATCAAGTTCAGAACTGGTCCGATACGAATAAAATTATTCCCGATAAATAGTCAGGTTTTGGACCGAAATGCTAACTATCCACTAGAGTTCTCTCGATACACCAAGAAATTATGAATAGGGCTTATAGTCAAGTTGTTTAGAATGGATATGCTTGTATCATTCATTAATTAAACTTATAGTTAAATGGTTAGAAAATCGTAAGGCTTACGTTGTGTATGGAGAGTTAAAATCCAAAATTTTCTATTTATATGTGGGTTTCCATCAAGGAAGCTTATTGAGCCCATTTCTATTTATCATTTTCCACACCGCTCTAATTAAAGAGGTTGGTGTGACTTCCTCCCATATGTTTTCGGATGATCTCTCAGTAGTTATGTCATTTTCGATTTCTAAACATCTGCATACTATGTTGACCCAACTGAAAGAGGTTGGCAATATACTATGTACTAGACTCGTTGAATAAAAATCGGAAAATGCCCTATGCCTTATACATAGGGGAATTTTCAAAAAAAATTCGCCAAAAAGTACTTCTAATAGGGGACGGAGGTTCAAGTACGTGAATTCAAGTACGTGAGGTTACCGTTGGACTACTAGCAGGCGACAAAATTTGACCGCAATAGAAGACCACCCTTTAGAACTTGACTTGAGAGACAAAATAGAAGACCAGGTGGTCTTCTATTATGGGGGG